CAAACAGTTCCAGTTTCTGATAAAACAGCATAACCCTGACTGGAGTGATATTCAATTGTTATTAGACCATATGACAGAGTCAGAAAAACAATTAATATTAAAAACAGCCCAAGACCTGGCTAGTGATTTTCTTAAGAATACGGGGAAGATATAAAAGATCATTTCCCCTTACAGGATCCAGGATGGATCCCTAATAGAGGGCGCATGGAAGTTTGCTGAATACATACAGGGATTGGGTTATGAGAAGAATGTAGCGGGCTATCCCAAAAAATTAATTGCACAACTTTGTATGCCGTTTAGCAAGGTCTAAGGATACCCCCTTGGAATTTTTGGATGAATTACCGGATACTATGAGGCAGTACACCCCTTTAGACCCAGGATTGGAAGTAGGCACTCAGCAGTTAGTGTCTCTGTCATCGGGCAGTCAGCAAGCGACATCCAGAGGAAGCTGCAGAAATTGAAGCTGGTGGAAAGCAGGAATTTGGAGACTTTGTTAATGAATCATGGAGAGTGTTTAGCAACAGAGAGGTGGATGGTGGAAGAAGAGACCAGCGGTGTTGGTAGCGGTGTTACAAGAAATAAAAATTCAGGAGTATGGGACCAAGGGGCCTGTGGGAAGGGATCAGTGCTCATGGTGTAAACAAAGGGGACATTGGAAGAATGAATATCTGGAGAAACAAAAAAGGAAGGGGAGGATACAGGCCCATGTCAAAGAAGATTGACGAGGATCTGGGGAATCTACCCTAGCAGATCCACTGGTTACATTAAAGCTAGGGAAACGACAACAGAATATAAAATTTCTAGTAGATACTGGAGCAACACTTTGGGTTTTGAATGAGGCTTTAACACCTATGGATCATGATTATGTAACGTAAGAGGAGTTATCAGCCAAAGAGAAAAGGCATACTTTTTAAAACCCTTAAATTTAAATTAGGAAACAATTGGGAATACATAAATTCTTACATATGCCTATTTCCCAGGACCTCTATTAGGCCAAGACCTATTGGAGCAGTTGAAAGATAAAGTAACTTTTGAGGGAAGAAAAATAGAATTTCAAGTGGGGAATGATCAGCTAATTGAACTTTTGAGTCTGGCCCTTATAGACACTCCTGTCAGTCCAGGAGTGCCTGAAGAAGTCTGGAATCAAGTATATCCGGGAGTATGGGTCTCGGAAACACGAGGAAGGGTGAAAAATGCCTCCCAATAACAGTAAACTTAAAACAGGAGGCAGACTGTGAGAATTAGGCAATAACTCCTTAGAAAGAAGATAGTGAAGGAATCCAGCCAATAATTGACTGATTCATCAAATTTGGGTTGTTAACAGAGTTGAATCAGAATATAACACTCTCATTTTACCAGTCAAAAAGATGGGAGTTATCAGATAGTGCAGGATCTCAGAGCTATCAATAGGATGGTTGAAGACTTACACCCTCTTGTGGCCAACCCATACACATTATTAACCAAATTAGAACTTGAATTGGCCTGGTTTACGTATTGGACCTAAAAGATGCCTTCTTTTGCCTACCCTTGAGCCCTGAAAGTCAGTTGTTGTTTGCGTTTGAATGGGAAAACCCTGACTCTGGAAGAAAGACACAATTAACATGGACTGTGTTACCACAGGGGTTTAAGAATACCTCGCTCTTTTTGGAAAAATTAACCAAGGATTTGGAGAAGTGGGAACGACCACATGGAGCTGGGATAATACTACAATATGTGGATGATTTATTGATAGCAGCAGAAATGATGAGATATACAGTATGGACAGTTAGTCTGCTAAATTTCCTTGGACTTAATGCTATCGAGCCTCTCCACAGAAAGCCCAAGTGGCCCAGCAGCCGGTGACTTACCTTGGATACAGATAAGTGCTGGACAAAGATCTCTAGGCACAGCAAGAAAGGTGGCCATTTGCCAGACCCCTCGACCACAGGCAGCTAAGGAGCTCCATACATTTTTAGGAATGATGGGATGGTGTCACCACTGGATATACAGCTACGGGCTCCTGGTAGGGCCATGCTATGAACTGTTAAAATCCAGGTCTGGGAAGCCTCACTTGGAATGGGGAAGCAGATAAAGCGTTCCAGCAACTGAAAAGAAGCTCATGGAGGCCCTGTCTTGGGGCTACCTGATACAACCAACCATTTTGGCTGTTCTCCCATGAGAAGCAGGGACTAGCCCTGGGAATCCTGGCTCAGAATGTGGGACCATACAGAAGGGCAGTGGCATACTTCTCCAAACAACTTGATGAAGTAGTAAAGGTTGGCCTAGCTGCCTAAGGGCAGTAGCAGCACTAGTGCTAAACATACAGGAAGCACGCAAATTCACATTAGGCCAAAGGATCACAGTGTTGCTATCCCATACCATATCTACAGTATTAGAGGTAAAAGGGGGGCACTGGCTCTCACCCCAAAGATTTCTTAAGTACCAGGCTGTTCTAGTGGAACAGGATGAAGTGGAAGTAGTTGTTACTAACATTGTCAACTCAGCATCTTTCCTCAGTGGAAATACAGGGAATCGGTATCACATGACTGCCTGGAAACGATTGAAGCAGTAGCAGATCCGATCTGAAGGAGGAACCTTTAGCAGACGTGGAGGACTCCTGGTATACAGACGGGAGCAGCTTCGTTCGACAAGGCGTCTGCAAAGCAGGGTATGCTGTAACCACTCCGCAGCCCCTGCCCCAGATACCTTGGCACAGAAAGCAGAATTAATAGCCTTAACCAGAGTGCTGGAACTGCCAAAGGCAAAAAGATAACAACTGGACGGACTCTAAATACACCTTTGGGTGGTCCATGCCCATGGGGCCATATGGAAAGAAAGAGGACTCCTGTCCACCCAAGGGAAAATTATAAAGCATGCTGAAGAGATTCTTAAGTTCCTGGAAGCCATCCAGCTGCTCTAGAAGGTGGCTATATGCATTGCAAAGCTCACCAGAAAGGAAACACTGCCCAGGAGTTGGGCAACACCACGGCGGACCGCGAGGCTAGAAGAGTGACAGAGAAGGGTGATGTAAGGGTACAGTCTTTGGTCCCAGATGATAAAATACAATTGATTGTGAACCCAGATATTCAAAAGAAGATCAGAAACTAATTGAGGACTTGGGAGTGAAAGTTGAAACAGGTGATTGGGCTAAAATTCTGCAAGGAAAATTAATCACACCATTCACATTGTTGTAGGCCATTGCCATGGCAGAACATAGAAAATCTCATTGGGGAGCAGAGGCTCTGTATAGGTATTTGAACCAGTGTGTAATTGCCCGAAACCTTTACACTACTGTTAAATAGGTGACTCAGCAGTGTGAAATATGTTTACAGAATAATCCTAAAATGGGCCTCAAAGCCCAACTAGGAAAAAGGGAGGGGAAACTATCCGGGATAGCAGTGGCAAATTGACTTCACAGAGCTCCCAAGAAAAGGAGGGTACCAGTATTTATTGGTCCTAACAGACACCTTCTCAGGTTGGCTGGAAGCATTCCTTTGCCAATAAAGCCCGAGAGGTGACCAAGGTCATATTACAAGAAATAATAACAAGGTTTGGGGTTCCAGTGGTTGTATCTCCGATTGAGGGTCGCACTTCATTGCAAAAGTTGTTCAACAAGTTAGCAAACTTCTGGGGATAGTTTGGCAATTACATACCCCATATAGGCCACAAGTAAGCGGCCAGGTGGAGAAAATGAACCACCTTATTGAAATACAGATTGTCAAATTGGGACAAGAAGCTGAATTGCTCTGGCCTCAGGCCCTACCATTGGCTCTTTTGAGAATGAGAACCAAACCCAGAGCCAAAGAAAGGCTGAGTCCCTTCGAAATAGGATACGGGAGACCCTACATGATACAGGCTGGAACATCAACCCAGGTCGGGAATGAAATACTAACCGATTATGTGATAACCCTGCAGAAACAGATTCAGGAGGTTAGGAAGCTAGTCTTGGGAACTAGTGCCTGAGGTCTGGATGGACCTGTGCATAATATTGAGCCTGGAGATTATGTGTATGTCAGATCTCTTTCAGATTCACCTCTGGAGCCAAGGTGGGAAGGCCCTTTCCAGGTGTTGCTGACATCCCATACAGCTATCAAGATTAAAGAACAAGCATCGTGGATACAGTATACCAGAGGAAGAAAGCCCCTAAACCCCAGTGGCGATCAGCACCCACTGGACCCCTGAAGCTCTGCATTCAAAAGCGAGCTAAGATGAGGGACTAAGAGCCCTGTAATACTGCTCCTTTTCAGTGCCTGTGTAATAGCATGGAGGGATAATGTGTTTCTGCAACAAACTGGGAAGATAGCTCGTGCACTAAATTTAACAGATTGTTGGGTATGTACAGCTCTTCCCAGAGGAGGAAATTCAGGACCATCCTTATTTGGAGTAGTATCTAAGAATTCAACTATGAATGCTCAGACTACAAAAAGTTGCACTTTTGGGGAAGATAGAGATAAAAGGACAGGGCCTAAATTTCATTTGCAGATATGGGATCAAGCAACACAATATACAGAAGAAATAGCACAGGAGGACAGGATGTAGGGACATTCAGATCACTGGAGACTTTAATTGGGACCATTCATGATATCCAAGAGAAAAGTGCAGGTAAAGGACAAGCTCTGTTTTTCCTTAGTAAACAGACTGAAAAGTGTAGTCTAGGTCCTGGGTGCTGGTGGCTCGGCGGAGATGGAGTGGCCAGAAAAAGCCTGCCTGCTAATTAGACAGGGACATGTGCAGAGGGGTACTTGATACCCCAGGACAAAATATTTAACCAGTCCCATGCCTCAAGTGGTGTTTTGAGGTCACCCTGGAAAAGGGTAAGACAGGGAGCTTATAACCCGCTTATAGAAAAACCGTTAGGGTTTCATAGCTTCACACAGTGGTTCTTACCCTGGTTGGGAGTTAGTGAGATTGAAAAAGCCATGGTAAATATTTTGGCAGAAATGGAAATAATAGCAAACTCAACTACTGATGCTCTTTTACGTTTAGACCAGGAGGTAAAATCCCTGAAGGGAGTAGACTTTCAAAACAGAATGGCTCTAGATATAATCACAGCTCACATGGGACGGGTGTGCACCTTGATCAATACAAGCTGTTGTATTTATGTAGATGAATCAAGTAGAACAGAGATTGACCTTCAGAAGATTTGGGAACACTCAAAATTCTTACATCGGGTATCCCTGGATGATATCTCGTATGGGTTTTCTAACCTGTGGGAAGAGCTCACCTCTTGGCTACCTAATGTCGCAAAGCTTAAGCAGCTTTTTGTTATAGTTATCCTGATTATTGTATTAGGATTATTGGTCTGTTGTGTGTTGCAATGTTTTATGTGGATGGATAAACAAACTGGAAATACCAATGTGGAGTGGAAGAAACACAAATTACAGCAAAACATTGAAAATGGCAAGTATTTTGCTAAAAGGAATGGTGCCATATAGCAAAAGAATTTGCAAGGTTAAAAAAAAAAGGGGGGACTTGATATAGAAAATAAATGCTTAGCAAAATAACTAGCAAGATAAAGGGATACTTGGTTGCAAAAGACCTTGAAAGATAACAGGAAACTTCTTTACAAGAGGCCTCCATAGATAACAGGATATCCATCCGTTAATTAAGGCATCTGCAAGAAGGATCCATCTGGCTGGAACCAGTTCTGCAGTTACTGGCTGAGGTAACTCAGCATTCTGGGACAAAGCTTGAGAGTACATGGTGAAGAAGACCACAAGCCTTCCTCCAAACGACCCCGGCCCACAACCACCAGATAGCAGTACGCATGTGGCAAGAGGAGGAGACTTAGGATAATGAGTTCCTGAAAATAATTACAATAATCACACCTATTCTTAGAACTAATTGTAATAACCCAGCCTATACTAACGAATATGCATGTTTTTGTATCATAAATGATGCCTGCTTCATGATACGGTGTACAAGCTTGGAGGAGAGATCGCCCTTGCACCCAGCGCTGCAATAAACATACCTGCTTTATAACTCTTTGTGAACTGTAAAGTGTGTTTCCAAATGTCAGAAAACAGCATGAGAAAGACATAGCAGAACAAAGTACAGCAGGGGAGGTAGAGAATGGAGACAAAAAGAAAGAAATATCACACCAAGGGCAGTGCTGTGCTGCAACAAGTCACCCAGAGGGAGTCTGGAAGAGCCCACAGCTTTGTGTTTCAAGGAACAACCAGGAGGATGGATAGATACTCAGCATTGGTGC